ATGAGAACATCCTCATCTCTGAAAGAGTGACCGCTGGCCTGTAAATGAGTGAAAACTGCAGAGTTCTGGCCATTAGACGTAACTCGTCTGTGTTGGGACATTCTTTTGAAGTATCAAGTATCCTTGAAAATATTTCTCTTAGGTTAAATCTCAGCTGTTTGTCTGCAGTAGGAGAGTTTTCCTTCACCTCTCTCAGATATTTTCCTCCATGAGGACCTGACGGTGAAGATCGGTGACTTTGGCCTGGCCACTGTCAAGTCTCGCTGGAGTGGCTCCCACCAGTTTGAACAGCTGTCCGGCTCCATACTATGGATGGTGAGTGTTGGAAACCTCCTCTTGTTCTTTGTTATAACATATTGGTGACAAACCAGTCTGTAAATGTAGTTTCCATTTAAAACTTTCAGAAGTTTTCCTCTTCGCTTTAGCTCAGTTCTAAAAAACAGATTATGATCGGCGCAGATGTTCAGTTCTCATCGAGTTTCTATGAAACTTTTCAAAATCTTCTTCATTCACCAACACAAATCAGTTAAATATGTATTCTGTATACACACTGGCTTCAGAACTTATTAACCCAAACTTTTTATCATTTTATGTCTCATCCTTTTGCTAATTTATTAAAATATAAAAACAAAATGATCCCCTTTCTGTAAGTCTTCAGCCTTTTTGAATGTCCTAACGTGGACCAGGCATAGAACTGATTTAAATATTAACCAACATGTTTGGAGGAACTTCACCAATGCTCCCAGTCCAACCAGACTAAGATTTACGAAGAAGAATGATAGAAAAACCTCCAGTTCTAGACTGAACTGCTGCCAGAAGTGCTTCCACTCAGAACTAAAGGGTGACGTTTAGGTTTTATGTTTTATAAATGCACAGAATTGTATAAAATTCAGTTTTCTCTTCATCATTATGAGGTACTGCGGTGAGAATAATAAGGAATAAAACAATCAAACGATAATTTACAATAATAGGTAATTAGGTGTGTGTGTGTGTGTGTGTGTGTGTGTGTGTGTGTGTGTGTGTGTGTGTGTGTGTGTGTGTGCCATCAGGCTCCAGAGGTGATCCGGTTGCAGGACAAGAATCCCTACAGTTTTCAGTCTGATGTCTATGCCTTTGGGATTGTTCTTTACGAGCTCATGTCAGGAGCTCTGCCCTACTCCAACATCAACAACAGAGATCAGGTGAGTCTGTGATGATGAGCTCATCACTGTCCCATCTTACCGCTCCGGTGTAGGTGATGTGGGACAGCGTGTCCACATACATGTGAACAGAGGGTGCAGATGTTAGACATGTAATACAGAAACTTTACAGAGTAGATGCTGTGAGTGTAGTTCTGTGTCAGCTTCAAATACTGAAGAAATTATTTTATTTTATTGAGGTGAAAACATTTTTAAAGTTGTTTTTTGCTTTGACTTCACTGCTGACCGCAGGACCCTAATTTCCCATCTGGAGCACTGTGGTACCAGTCTGACTGGAGTTACTCTGTAAACCTCAGAGAATCTGTTTCTTCCTCAGTTTGTCTTTTGTGGAGTTCCTCAGGGTGTTATTCTCGGTCCAATATTATTCTCTCTGTACATACTCACTTTGGGCTCCATCTTCGTAAATATTATGGCTCTTTCCTATATATTTATACATGTAAAGCAGGGTTGGGTGATGTTGGCAAAAAATTCATCATGGTTCTAGTCACATGACCAATTTAAATCACTCTAGTGGGAAAGATTTGCTCTGCCTAAAAGTCTGTTCCAAACTGTGTCAAAAGAAGACTTCAGGCTATACATCAATTGTTAAATTGTGTTGATAGACCAAGTAAAACCTGTAAATTATGATAATTTACAGAACTGTTTTTTAACTGTTCATCATTTTTGAAGTGCGTTGCAGTGGAGGCAGGGAAAGATGGACAGATTCATGGAAAAAATACCTCAGTCCACCCTGTAATCTCACCCCCACCCTGCCCAGCTATTTGCTGGGGGAAATCTTTCAGTCTGCCTGGTGTCATAAACGTATTAATTGTCAAGTGACTGAAAATAATCAAAGTTTTTCTGACAGTTAATTGCACAATACGATTTTGCCCAACTCAAATATGAAGACACACGTTTACAGCAAACTGACTTTTAGTTGTAGCTCCTGAGTTACAGAACACTCTGCATGGAATTGAGGGAAGTTTCAACACACTATCGCATACATGATATTGTTTTTCCTGTTCCGTCAGATTATATTCATGGTGGGTCGGGGTTACTTGTCCCCCGACCTGAGTAAGGTGCGCAGCAACTGTCCGAAGGCCATGAAGAGGCTGATGGCTGACTGTCTGAAGAAGAAGCGAGAAGAGCGACCCCTCTTCCCCCAGGTGAGAAGTAAATGCTGAAGTTGGCCACCGAAAAGGAAAAACAAGCTCCACCTCCCTCTGCATGTCTCAGCGAGCAGGTTAAAGGGATCCCCGATTAGTTGTAACATTAGACTTTATTTGATAAACATATATTTAACTGTAAAATAAAGACTGAAAAAATACTGTAGGATGTTCAGTTTTTATCATTTTTAAACTAAAAGTTTTAAAATATATTACACGGACAGGGCCATTTTATTTTCATGCAAAGCATTCTGGGTAAATGATGACATCAACTAAGTCATCACTGCGAGGCTGCTAGCG